CGACAAAAAAAAATGGACTAAACAAAACACTAAAGAATAACTATAACATGTTAGTACAAGAACTAAACTAAACAAACTGAATATATATATGGGTACCTGCGATGAACAAGAGCGACTCCAGGGAATATTAAATTAGACGACACAATGACAAACCTCCAGTGAAAGAGAAACACTGTACCAACAATTAAGGGTTAAGCCCACATAAAATTTGCTTTCTGGATTACAAACCAGAATATAAAATTATTACCGGAATACCAAATCGGTTATCTAAAATAATTCAGTTGACCCGGTTAACCCGGTTAACCTGATTAAATTACATAAAGCATGTGAAAAGATGCATGATGGATGCTAACGACTCTAGCGATTAAATAGTAATCCTGTGGTAAAAATATTGATTTTTTTGTGCTATTGATAGTTTAGTACCGATTATGCTTAAAAAAAGGAGTGCAAATATATTTATTTATTAAAAAACCTCAATTGCCATTAAAATATAACATTCTTAAAATGCTTAAAAAATCAAGTGAGAGATTTTGACGATCGCTATTTAAAAGATTACTATTATAATTGAAAAACTGCGTTCTACACTACAACTAGAAACTGGGTGCAATATAAGATAAAATTGGCAAATATATTTTCATTTCCATTCAATAATCATATCCTTTGGGAAAATTTTACGATCCGTTGTGATTCTGTGATTAGCTGCGTTTAACTGCGGTGTTCTGTGAAACACAGCAAATCATCGTCCCTGGTTGGGATGTTAAATCAACTTTTACACGTTAACAAAATTTATTTTAAATAATTTAATATTTATAACGATAAAGTTTTCAGAATACAAATATTTATATTGGGTAAGAAATCAGCAATGCGAAGTTTCTGACAATAACAGATAAGTAAAAATTTTATAGTTACGAAAAGAAAAATTGCTAATACTTCGCAATCTACTAAAATATTTCAATAATTCTTTCACTATTAAAACCAGAAAAACTTTCTATACGATTGTTATGCGATACTAATCAAATTACTATTTCTTTTTAAAAACAATATTTGAGAAATAGTTTTTGGACTTAGAGAAGATCGCTTTGAAGTTACCTGGTTTCCAGCATCTGAGAACAAGCGTTCACTCGGAACTGAAGTGGCTGGAATAGCTAAGTATTTTTTTGCTAATTTACTTAAACCTGGGAATTTCTTTTCACGTTCTTTCCACCATATCAAAGGTCGAGTTTGTTTAGAAGCAATAGGAACTCTATTAATATCCAAATACTTGTCTAGCTCGTCAGTTGACAAACTATTATCGTCTTCATTATCGTCATCATAAATTGATGTGAAGTACTAATTAGCTAAAGTTATATTGGGTGCAGCAATTGCTTGTACTGGAATTTTACCAGCTATAGTATTAAGTTCTTCACGACATGTTCTAATTGTTTCTTCACGTATATCATTAGCCCAAGGACACATTTTTTTAAGCCTTGGGTCTAGTAGAGTTGCTAGAAGACCTGTATAATTTGGGTCACCCCAATACTCCCAGAGCGAATTATAAATACTTTGGTTAACTTGGGCAACAACTGAGAGTTTCTTGTAAGTCAGTAATATTTTCATATTCATTATCACTGTCTATATCTGATTCTAAAAAATATTATTTTTATAATTATTTGTTAGTAAGTAATAGCTATTTTATTACTATGTATATGTTAAGAGTATTTTATAAAAAAATTTTTATTTACCATTTTTTTTATCAATACTATCTTCAATCAATGGTAAATTCGGATCTATCGCAAATTTAAATTTTAGAACTTCAATAATAGGATAGACGACTGATAAAGTAGAATAATTCTCAGCACTAAATTCTTCAGTTGCATGGTCAAAGGGTTCAAAAATTTTAATTAATTCTTCGACCAATTTCTATTCGTCTTCGTTAGGTAAAAAACTTTTAAGTTTTTTACCATCTTTTTTATCTTCTGAATTTCGTGAAATTTTTAAATTTGCTTCTAACCAAATAATCACATCTTTTAATTTTAATAGTCTTTTCCAAGAGTGATATTCTGAATTCCATCTGGTAGAACAATCTTTAATTAAATGAAGAACTTTAGAAACTGTATTTACAATTAATGGTTGTTCCGAATCTGTATTATTTCCATCATCGATTTCTCCAGGCTCTTCATTGTCAAGATACGATTTAATATTTGTTGATTGAGGTAAAGGCAACCTGTCTCTTTCCATTACTCTAATTTGTGCTTTTTCCAATCTTTCTTGCTGTTTTGGCGAATCAAAAAAATGAACAAGCTTTTTTATTTTTTTTATATGTGAGTTAACTTTTTTTAGAGCACGATTAACTGTTAGCTGTAAGGTGTGCACAGCACATGGAATTCGAGTAACAGTATTCCATAACTGAATAGCTTTTGCCATATTGGCGCCATTGTCAGTAACAGCACATATAGTTTTATTATCAAGGTTGAATTCAGTACATTTTTTTAAAAGAAATTGGTGGATCGATTCTGCAGTATGTGGATATTCTATTTTTTCACAACATAACAATATACTACGCAATGACCAATTGGGAGTTATCCAATGACAAGTAACGCCAATATAACCTTCATTTTTACGGGATGTCCACAAATCAGCAGTAATTGTGGCAGTTTCGCAAGATGTTTGAATTTCTTGTCGAAGAAATTCAATATTTCTTAAATAACTAAATTCCATTTCACTTTTTATAAATCTGTCAGAAGGTGGACGAAACTTCAAATCAATTTTTGACATTATTTGACGAAACCCTTTTTTTCTTGGTGCTGATAATGGTTCATCATCAAGAAGTATCCATTCAATTACGGCTTTGACTATTTCTTTTCTTTTGGCACCTTTATGTGGAATATTAGTTTTGATTATATCAGGTAAAGTGGTTTGTCGAATTTGTTGGATTTCAGACTTAAGTCTTTTATTATCAACAATATTATGTTGTACTCGTAGGTGAGAGATCATATTTGATGTTGATTTATCATGTAAATATTCTTGTCCACATTTTTTGTCTTTTCTAATTTCTATTTGATATACATCTTTATCTCCAATTACTTTAAAATATTTCCATACGAAACTTGATTTATTTCTACTTCTTTTTTTTTTAGAGCTAATTAATTTGGTCGTTGAAGATACGTTGGTATTATCAGCTTCACTATCACTTTGATCTGTATATGTTGTTTTATAAAAGCTTGAGCTAGACTCTTTCTGAGAATCCATTTTTATTTAAGCAAGTATAAAAATAAGCCTGGATTAACAAAAGAAAAGAGATATTATGTATATACTATAATCGAAATAATTAACTAATGAAATGTCGAGAATGTGGATTTTAAAAAACAATTTTTATTATATGATAAGTATAGAAGTCTGCCTTTACAAAAACTTTATACATATCTTTTTATATAAATTACAACTACTAATGCTTAACTTCTATTCTCTAGATCATTATGCAGATATAAAACTATTTACTGTTGGATCATACTAACATAACGACTATGATGCTATGCATAACGATCTTATGCATAACGATCTTATGCAAACGATTCTATGCATAACAATCCTATTCATAACGATCTTATGCATAATGATATAAGCAAGATGAATAATTAAAAAAAAAAATTATGTGGTCTTTGTCGGTATCATCTTAAAACCGAGTTTATAGTTTATTTTACAACTTAAATAAATTCAAGTTTTATTAAAGAATATAGTTCAATTATTCATTTATTTAGAAGTTAAATTGAATTTTATTAAATACGAAAAGTGAAACTTTAAATACAAATTTTTATCAATACAATTTAATTATTTTGAATACATTTTACTTAAAGTTGAGAAATTTGAATGAAAAAGGTTAAGGCAACTCGATTACCAAGTATGAAGTAAGAGAACGATGTTTACAAGAAATGGGCAATGGGAATTCACTAATGGGGTTTCAAAATTAACAAATAAATGGCACATTTCGAACATAAGTAGAAATTTTTAAATAGCATTTTTATTATATAACGACAAATAAAATAAAGTACTCTGATTTTAATTTTGAAACCCCCAATGTAAAAATAATGCGAACGATTAATAGAAAATGAGATAAAAATTAATAACGATAATATGGGGTTTCAAAATTATAGTAAAAACGCTATTTAAAAAATTAAAA